GGTCCCCAGTGCTGGGGCCGGGGAGAGGAGCGGAGCAGAGGGCCCCTCTGGGCGGCAGCACCCCCCCATCCCCTGCCTGCGGTGGGCGCAGGCACCACGGAGCTGACGGGCAGCACCAACCTGATCACGCACTACAACCTGGAGCACGCCTACAACAAGTTCTGCGGCAAGAAGGTGAAGGAGAAGCTCAGCAACTTCCTCCCCGACCTGCCCGGCATGATCGACCTGCCCGGCTCCCACGACAACAGCAGCCTGCGCTCCCTCATCGAGAAGCCGCCCATCTGTGGCAGCTCCTTCACCCCCCTCACCGGCACCATGCTGACCGGCTTCCGCCTCCATGCCGGCCCGGTGAGCGCGGGGCTGCGAGTCGGGGGGCTGGAGGCAGCAGGGCAGGAGGGGCCCGGCCTGGCCTGACCAGCCCTGTCTGCTTTCCGCAGCTGCCTGAGCAGTGCCGGCTGATGCACATCCAGCCACCCAAGAAGAAGAACAAGCACAAACACAAGCAGAGCCGCACCCAGGATCCTGTCCCCCCAGGTGAGGGGCTGCGCCTCACTGCCGCAGCCACCCCCTCTTCCATCCCGCGCCAGAGGATGCCCTGCTCATCCGGCGCTCTCGTTTCTCCAGAAACCCCCTCGGACTCCGACCACAAGAAGAAAAAGAAGAAAAAAGAGGAGGATCCAGAAAGGAAAAGGAAGAAGAAAGAGAAGAAGAAAAAGAAGGTGGGTGAGGAGAGCTGGGGTCCAGCCCAGCCTGTGCCCACTCGCAGGGTGGCTGTGAGCGTGGTCCAGGCGGCAGCAGGGCCCAGAGCCAGCGGGTGGCCGTTCCCCGGGGGTGCTGCTGTCGTGCAGGTCTCACGGGATGTGTCTGTGCTTCCTCCACAGAACCGGCACAGCCCGGAGCACCCGGGGGTGGGCAGCTCCCAGGCCAGCAGCAGCAGCAGTTTGCGGTGAGGCCGCACCGGTGCCGCCCCGGAGATCCCCCAGCCGACAGGAACGGCCCTGACTGACCTGGGAGGGACTCGTCCCTCCTGCAGCGCTTGGCCGGGGGGCTCGGGCTGGCCTGCGTCCCCCTCCAGCAGAGAGGACACCCCCGTAGCCCCCCCGCTTGCATCGTGCAGCCAGCTGGGACCAGGGGACACAGGCCCTGCTGGCGCTGGCATCGCTGACCTTGGCCTTTTATACCAAAACCACCCGGTGCCTCGGGGGCCTCTCTTTTTTAGTCACCTTTTAATTAAAATCTCTGCTCTGAGAAGGGGTTGGTGGCAGCTGTGCTGTGACCCTCGGCTGTCACAGTGAGGACAAAGGATGTGCGGAGTCGGAACTGTCCCGATGTGCTGAGGCCTGGGGTGGAGGATCGTGGCCGAGCTCCCACCCCAGCTCTCAGCCCATCTCCCCCCTCTCCTGCCGGGGCAGGGCTGGGGGGCTCTGTGCTCCCCTGCCCCTCCCAGGCCTGGTGAGGACCGGAGCGACCCCAGAGAGGTACCGTGTCCCTGCGGGAGCTCCAGCAGCAGCCATGGTGCGACGCCAGCGTCCTCATTTGGCACCAGCGTCTCATGGAGGATCCCCAGCCTCACCAGCTCCTGTGACACCTTCCCCAGAGCCACTTTCCTCATGCCCTGAGAAAACCTTACCTTCCGTGGGAGCAGGGTTTGCCCAAAACCACCCCGAGGAGGTGCCTCCCCAAAAGAGGACCATGGGCTCAGCTCTCCTTGGGCCCTTGTGAGGAGGGGGGAGAAGGCCGAGACCCTGAAGGACAGGAGCCCTCCAGGGGCTCCTTCGTCCCTGGACGCTAAACAAAGCACACGCATGCCCGCTGGGGTGGCTCATTAAATATCCTTTTATTCCTCGTTTTTAAAATGGCTAATAATAATAAAAAAACCAATGGTGTGGCTCTGCAGAGGCCACGGGAGAGATATTGCCGTAGAGGAAAAGTCAAGTAGTGCCTGAAGTTTTGTGGGCCCCTGCGTGGGGTGGTTGGCCCAGGCAGGGGCGGAGGGATGGGGAGCACTGAGCTCCTTGGCTGCATTTTTGTTTTTGGCATGTGATGAGAAAATATTGCTTTACAGGGATGCACCCCGCTGGCCTTCCTCTTCCCTGAACTGAAATAAAAACAACCACGTGACAGTGAGAAAACCCTATCAGACCCATTTAAAAAAACCAACAAACAAAACCCAACAAAAACAAGCCCCCCCCCCCCAAACCGCAGGTGGGGAAAGGCTGGAGCCCACGACTGTTTTTCTGTGCCAGCCAGCGCCCACCACACCAGCTGGCGGTTGGGTTTGGGGGGTGTGTGGGAGGGGGCTGCCCCTCAGCCCTTCCTCCTCCCCAGGCTGCCACGGCCCCAGGAGGGAAGGCTGGAGGCTTCTCAAGCAAAGAACTGGGGAGGGGAGTGTCCTTGGCTGGAAGCACCTTGGTCTTTGGCGGGGGAACAGGGTGCCCCAGGGAGGGGGGGCACCTGCCATCCCACAGCCCTGCTGGCCCCACTTCAGAGCGGGGGGAGCCAGGCACCCTCCCCAGCTTGTTCCGGAATGCAGGGGGCAGCCCCAGCCCCACAACCCTCCTTCGGGGATGGGGACGAGGCAGGGGCCCAGGCCCTGGGCAGGGAACGGGTAGTTTCTTCCTCTCTCTGGGTAAGATATATAATTTCTGCTTTTTTTTTTTTTAATATTTATATTTATATATATAGATATTTATATATACACACACCTGGTAACTCAGAAAGAGAAAAAAAATAGAATCCGTAACAATAATAATAAAAAAAAGTATTCTGGTTTAAAAACAATCCATTCCTACCACGCTAGGCGAGCGATTGATTGCACAAGGCCCACAAGTGGCTGGCCCAGC